TCATCCTATAAAAGGGGTTCGCAAACCTTTTCTGTAAAGGGAAAAACAATAAATATTTTAGTCTTTGTGCACCAGTCTCTGTCACAACTACTCAATAACAGTAGTCCCTCGGTAGCTGTGGGAGATTGGTTCCAGTTCCCCTCTGCAGATATCAATATCCACAGATGCTCAAGTCCCTTATATAAAATGGCACAGTATTTGCATATAACCTACGAACATCCTCCCATATACTTTAAACCATCTCTAGATTATTTATAATACCTAATGTAAATGCTACGTAAATAGCTGTTATACCGTATTAGTTTTTTATCTGAATTATTTTTTATTGTTGTGTTGCTTTCTATTGTTTTTTTTGTTGGTTTGTTTTGTTTTGTTTTTTTTGAGACAGAGTCTCACTTTGTTGCCCTGGCTAGAGTGAGTGCCATGGCTTCAGCCTAGCTCACAGCAACCTCAAACTCCTGGGCTCAAGTGATCCTACTGCCTCAGCCTCCCGAGTAGCCGGGACTACAGGCATGTGCCACCACGCCCGGCTAATTTTTTCTATATATTTTTAGTTGTCCAGATAATTTCTTTCTATTTTTTTAGTAGAGACAGGGTCTCGCTCTTGCTCAGGCTGGTCTCGAACTCCTGAACTCAAACAATCCGCCCGCCTCGGCCTCCCAGAGTGCTAGGATTATAGGCTTGAGCCACTGTGCCTAGCCTGGACATGTTTCTAATTTTCTTGTTTACATACCTAGGAGAGGAAGTGCTGGGTCATTTGGTAACTCTATGTTTAGCCTTCTGAGGAACTGTCAGACTGTTCTCCAAAGCAACTCCACCATTTTATATCCCTACCAGTAATATATGAAGGTTCCAATTTCTTCACATCTTCCCTAACACTTGTTATCATCTGTCTTAAATTACAGCCTTGCTTGTGGGTATGAAGTGGTATCTCATTGGAATTTTGAATTGCATTTCTCTATTGACAAATTATATTATAGAGCATCTTTTTCATGTACTTATTGGCTATTTGTTCACCTTCCTTGGAGAACTCTCTATTCAGATCCTTTGTCTATCTGTTGAGTTGCTTGTCTTTTTATTATTGAGTTGCAAGAGTTCTTATATATTCTAGATACAAATGCCTTATCAGATACATGATTTATAAATATTTTCTCCTATCCTCTAGATTGTCTTTCCACTTTTTGATGGTGTCCTTTGAAACACAAAAGTTTTTAATTTTCATGAAATCCATTTTTTATCTTTTCCTTTTCTTACGTGTGCTTTTGGTGTCATATCTAAGAAACCGTTGCCTAATCCAATGTCACAAACATTTATGCCTATGTTTTCTTCTAAGACCTTTTGGTTTTAGCTTACACTTAGGTCTTTGATCCATTTGGAGTCACTTTTGTATATGGTGCTGAAGTAGGTAAAAATATTTTTTAAATTGTATTTTAAAAGGTAGACTTGGTGGCATCCTTTACTCTTATCTCTCTCTCATTACCATAGCTTATCAATCATTAGTCAGCATAGAGTTTAAAAACCCAAAGACTCTGAGGTCAGAATGCCTAGGTTAGAATCCCAGCTGTCTCGTGTGACCTTGAACAATATATTTGACTCTCTCTGGGCCCTGATTTTTCCCTCTATAAAATGGGGATAATAACAATCCCTACCTTAAAGATGAGGATTAAATGCCAATATGTCCAAATGCTAAGTAGAGAGTGCTTGCCATCTAGTAAGCACTTCAAAAGAGTTTAATTATTATCTTCTAAATATCACTTAAGTTTGTATGTTCTCACCAGTTCCAAAGCTTCTACCTTACTTGAGCCGATCATCATTTCCTACTTGCATTACTAAACCCTATTCTTACCTGGTTTCCCTGCCTCTAATCTCGTCCTCCAAATTTATTTTCTACTCTGAACCCACATGATCATTATAAAATGCACATCTGATCACCTATCAATCTTCTGCATTTAAAAAATAGTTCCCTGGTACCCCAAAGATGAAGTCCAAACGTCTTAACAAGCAAGACATGGAGACTTTCAGGTCTGGCTGCTATTTGCCTCTCCAGCCTAATCTCTTACTACTACTATGACCCAGGGCCTTGATTTCTTCCATCTCTAGAAGACTGGCTAACTCCTACTTATCTTTCAGGGATCAGCTAGACACCACTTTCTCTGAGAATCCTTTCTAGATGGCTCCATTTCCAGGCCAAGGATAAATACCCCTCCTACAGCATTCTGAACTCTCCCTATCAATGCATTCCTTATACAGTTACAATTATCTATTTACTTACATCTATAGGAGACTTGGTGGGGACAGAAAATATATCTTTGTCACTGCATCTCCTAATGAATACTACAGTCATAGGATATTTAATAAATGTTGTACGGATGGATAGATGGCCTCAAAAGTATACATATATCAATATGGTACTTTTCTCCATTAGAGAGATAACCCACTAAAACAAAGCCACACTCATAACTTAATAGAAAATATTCTCATTCTCACTGCCTGAAAGTTTCAATGAAATATGAATACCACTGTTATAACCACTGTGGTGCACATGCGCCTTATTTGTGGTTGGCTATTAACACTCAATAAGACAAGTCAAGTAGTCAAGATGGTTAATGTGTCGAATGTACAAAATTCAAACTAGATGAATTTCTTTTTCAAGTTGCTCTACTTCATAGTCCTTACCTTCTCTATAATGGGATGTTTTTGAATTAAGCAAACATGACTTTCGTGCAAGCTCCAATAATCTTTATTAAGCAAATTCAACTTGCAAGGGAAAAAAAGGGAAAGTTTGGATAATTTTAGTACTATAATATTGTTGATTTTAATGCAACTTTCTAAAAAAATCACTTCAGAAAC